TTTTTTTTTTCAGCGGAAAAGAACGAAAATAAATAGAATAGAATATGTTGTTTGCCTGTTATTTCTTTGCTATTGGTGCTGATTATTATATAAAAAAAAAAAGGAATAGCATAATACGAAGACGTAGACTTTATTATGCATTAATGGTAGTAATAACGACTGTAATAATTATAATTAAAAATAGTATTTACAGTAAAATGCACAATAGTAATAAAATGAGAATTTCAAAGAATTTTAAATAAAAAAAAATATTCCATATTGATATATGTGAAAGTAATTTATTCGAATTAATTTCAATTTGTGTGCAATTAGCTTTTATATTGCAATATACAAATAGAAAGTTTCTGGTTTTAATATAAATTAATGAAAAGAATAGAAAATCTCCAGAGATACAAAGCTCTGTAGTATACATTGCAGATATCAAAAGGAAATATTAAAAAAATTATAAATAACATTATGAGGTGAAAAGAATAAAAAAAAGTTTCATATAATTATAAATCTAGTATTCGTTATTTTGTTTACATATAATTAAATAGAGAGAAAAACTTTTGAGAAGACATATGAAACGATTACCAATTTAATATTTCATTTATATAAAATCATTTTCTGTTTTTACAATGTCTATCGTAATATATTTGATCATTTTTTAAGAATTATTGAAAACAATTTAATATTATCTAGCAATAATATGGAAGATTACAAATGTCAAAAAAAAATGTATGAGTAAAATGATTATTTGTTGTACAATATGGAAATATAATTTTAATATACTTGGTCATTATATTAGTAAATAATTGATAGATATAAACTTTTTATAGCTATAACAGCTGAACAAAAATAAAAGAAATGGAGTATTGTGTAGCAAACAACAGAATATATATCACAAAGAAAAATCGAGGAAAAAAGGAATAAACATGAAAAATAAGAACTTTATTTTATAAAAAAAATCGAGGAAATCAAAGTTTTCTGTGTTAGAATCAAGAAAAGTGGCAGCTCTCGTGGCGATATGGCGAAACTGTTGGACTCAGATTGATTGTATCTAAATAAAACGAATGATTTTATTATAGTTAAATAATCGAATATTATATGAAAATCTTTAATTATTCCTTTACATAATTTAGTTCTTCTGTATCACTCAGTAGATTTCTAGTCAAATACAGACAGGCTTCAGAACATTGTAGTTTCTTCTGTTTTTATTGAGTTATGAGACACATACAATCAATGTTTGGTATTCCTAATAATATACATTTAGTTCGAAATATATCTATGACAAATAGAAAAGATCGGATCCTAAACTAATGAAAGATAGTTTTCATATGAATTTTCTACTCTATACAATATTATTATTATTATTACCAATGACTAAGCACTGATCAATATCAATTTCATCCTTTGTTTTTGACTCTATTTCAGTGACTTCAATTGATTCACGATATTGATTATCTTCATTGACTGATTGAAGTGTCCAAGCTGAAATATAAATACATATCAAATTACAGACATATTATAGTGTTCGTACAACTTACTTGGAAGTGAACTGGTCATATTTGCTGTAGACTAAAATATGTTCCAATAATAAAATATGATTTTCGAACAGATGAATTCGGGTGCAAACTAAAAGGTGCTTAGGATCAACTTTCAATGAAAATATAGTTTTTAAATGTCTGTTACTAGTGCCATTCAAGCATGGTTTTAAATACTAAAGTATTGTATTTATCAAGAGTTACTGCAGCATTATTATATAATGCTATTTTATAAAACTATTCGTTGTAATTTTTTATGAATATCACTGTAAGAAAATTTTCAATGTTATATAAGTAAATAACTGTTCTTACTCTACTAACTTGGAGCTAGCTCTAATTAATATCATTGTCGATTGCTCTCTTGTTTATATAAAGTACGTCTTTTTTGAATTTGAAATATTTTCATTCCACCATTATTCTTAAGCTGTCATAAAAACACTTCTAGTCTAGATACCGATAAGATCAAAATAATAATCTAAATTTTTCGAATTTGGTTCAAAGATTTTTTTAAGATATTGTTACTCGAAATTTCTGCGATCTTCTATTGATTTAATTCATGTTTTCAAAGAATAAAATTGCTTATAGGAAAATAGACTGAACATCATTCTCACGTACTGCGTTTACACAGAGGTATATGCGTACTGAATAACATTCTGTAGTTCATAAACACTGTAATGCTAAACACTGTGCTTAGCAGATACTGAAAGTTAGAAAACAAAATACATGGGGTAATTGTGTATTCAATAGGATTGCTTAATATTTTACACGCTAATAAATAAAACTATATGAAAGTTCTTTATTGATATCAATCGTTTTAAACATATATGTAATACTTGAAATTTTCACCTATTCAACTATCCAGTATATGGAAGTGGATGAGTTTGGGTGTTGCTAAGGTGGGTGTGAATGTATATGAGCGTTTCTAAGGTGAACTTGAATGTATATACACGTTGTCAAGGTGGGTGTGAATGCATATGAGTGATGCTAAAGTGGGTGTGAGTATATATGGTTATTTGTAAGGTGGGTGTGGGCGCTAGGGTGTAGGTATGGGTGTTTTATGGTGTTGCTAAGGTGAGTATGAATGTATATGGGTGATGCTAAGGTGGGTGTGAGTATATATGGTTGTTGCTAAGGTCGGTGTGAGTGTATTTTGGGTGTTGCAAAGGTAGATGTAGCTGTGGGTGAATGTTGCTAGGGTGCATGAATAGTTGAAAAGTTGTGTAGTTGAAAACTTGAAGTATTAAAAAATTGGATAGTTGGAGTAAAGTATGACTAATTGAATTCAGCTTTCACGCTTGAGATTACTGCATTCTCACCCACACTCTCATCTACAGTCACCCAAACTCTCACTCACACCCACCATCCACACCCACACTCTCACCCTAGCTCTCATCTATATTCACCCACACTCTCACCCACACCCATCACCTACACTTTCAACCTAACTCTCATCTACACTCACCCAAACTCTCACCCACACCCATCACCCATACCCACAGTCTCACTTTATTTACATATGTATACTTAAAGATCCGCAGACTCGCAGATCAGAACGCTATTATAATAAATTTTATACACTATATATACGATAATATATGTTTAACGAGTACATGATCTCAAGCGCATATAGGACATGACGTATAAGATAATGCGTCTGTAACGATTTGCACTATTGTTAGCTTCATATTACAGCAATGAAAGGGGCATCAGCGAAAGAGAACGAATGAAGGAGAAATGGAGAAAAAGATGACCTTCGTGGGATTCGAACCCACGCCTTCTGCTATCCGGGCAGATATCCTAAGCCAACTAGACTAGAAGGACCAACTTAATTTCTAGTTTAGCGTCAAGTGCTTCATCACAAAACGCTAACAACTACGACTTGATTGAAGCAGTTTTTCTTTCAAGATTCAGGCTAAAATTCAATAGGCCATTGCATACACAATAACTATGTTGCTCATTATAGATATCAATATCAACTGTGTAAACTATTCTAAACTGGCAAAGAACCCTCATAACAACTAAATCTATGATATGAATCCAATACTAATCTAATATTGCTGATAAAAATGTGCCTCATACTATACATACGCTATAGACAAACTTCCACAAACAGTACACATACATAATTCCACATCTAGCTTAAACAGACATCGTTGCTATTCCACTTCACTATTTTATAAAATTTTTTGCAGAAAAATATACTTATTAATAAAATCGGGTAATATTAGCAAAATGTATAGATTTTAGAAGAACCTAATCATACGCTAGCAAATACAAAAACTGAAAGAACTTACCCTTAATTGATATTGTGCTCGCCAAATGGAAATAGCTCCCCAGTAATAATCGCGGCATTTATATATACCATTTTACGATACCCAAAATATATCATTCCAACAGTACATAATACAATAATTTTAGTCCAACCATCATATAAAAAGCGTACTACTCCCAAATTCGATCGACTATCAACAATTTACATCATATTTTACAAAAAGCCCCAGTTACACCAATGCCACGTATGATAAAAATTTCGAACACTACTTATATACAAAACGTTTATCATGCAATTCTTAACTGACTTACTCGAAGAATATGAATAAATTTCGGAACAACATAGTTGATATAACCCACACCTACTTTACAATTTTCATCAGTCCTCTGAATAACAACTTTATTTTTATCACATCATTTCCATCACAAGTTTAACATATAACTCCAACTCAATCAATTCAAATACCCGGCGTACGCAAAACCACGTTTTCCTTCGCCAAAACAACCCATTCGACTCGTATTTTGAACTACTACACGGAAACGCATATTCGCATATTCTTTGTATCAAGACCGCACCTGCCACCAACAATCAATTACATTGGATATTCAGTATATGCAGCACCACTCCAGGGAAACAATTCACATATATTTCTCTCAATATTAACGTATGTATAGTCAAATGGTTAACATGACTATGAACTAAATGGACACGTGCAAAAGGCGATATTCACAAATTTCTCCTTCATGAAGTATTGTTCGAATAACAAAATAACCGTACTGGCCACAGAGTACATGGAGAAGTGCTAAAAACTATATTCACATATTTTTTGTTTCTGAATTAATATCCAAATCATATAACGACCATAGTAGCCACGAAGTATATGGAGAAGTGCGATAGACTGCATTCATATACAGTTTGTTCCAAGATTATCTTTCGAACAATACAATGACCTTCGTGGTTACGGCGTATAAGAACAAGTTCGAAAGACTGCATTCACATATCCGTAGTCCAAACATTAATGCTTCAATAATCAATGACTATCGTGGTTACGGAGTATATGGATACATCCGGTTGATTCCATTCAGATATTCGTAGTTCCAAGATTAACATTGGAGTAATACAACGATCATAGTGGCTATGGAGTATATGGAGAGCTGCGACTGGATGTATCCGCATATTTTCTGTCTCAAGATTAACATTCGAATAATACAACGATCATAGTGGCTACGAAGTATGTGGAAAAGTGCGTTTTTTTATTGAGTGCATTCATATATTTGCAGTTACAAGAGTAACATTCGAATAATTCATAACTATATCGGTTACGCAGTATATCAATAGGTCCGTTATTAACTGCATTCATATATTCGTAGTGCTAACAGTAATGCTCGAATAATCAATGACTATCGTGGTTACGCAGTATATGGATAGGTGCGATTGACTGGATTCATATATTCGTAGTTTCAGGATCAGCATTCAAATAATCGATGGCTATAGTGGTGACGGAGTATCTGGATACGTTCGCTTGACTGCATTCATATATTCGTAGCACGAAGATTAGCATTCGAATAATCAATGACTATAGTGTTTACGAAGTATCTGGATACGTCCGACTGACTGCATTCATATATTCGTAGCTCCAGGATTAATATTCGAATAATACAAAAACTATAGTGGCAACGAGGTACATGGAAGAAGTGCACAAGTCTGCATTCATATACTTTTTGTTCCAAGATTATCTTTCGAAAAATACAATGACCATAGTGGCTACGGAGTATATGAACAAGTTCGAACGACTGCATTCACTTACTTTTTGTTCCAAGAATAACGTTCAAATAATATAATGACCATAGTGGGTGCACAGTATATGAAGAAGTGCGAATGATTGGATTCACATAGTGTTAGACTGAAGATAAACGGTCGAATGATACAACTACCATAGCGACTGCGGAGTATCTGTAGAAGTACGAAAGAATGCCTTCAGATGCCTTTTGTTCGAAGATTAAGATTTGAACAATCCAATGACCATAGTGGTTACGGAGTATACGGAGAAGTTCGGAAGACTGCATTCACATCGTTGTAGTTACAAGATTAACGTTGGAATAATAGAATGACCATAGTGGCTACGATGCATATGGATAAGTGCGAAATGTTTTTGAGTGCATTCATATATTTGTGGTTACAAAATTAATATTCGAATAATCGATGGCTATAGTGGTTATGAAGTATTTAAATAAGTGCGTTTTTTGAGTGCATTCATATATTTGCAGTTCCAAGATTAACATTCGAATAATCCATAACTATAGTGGCTACGATGCATATGGATCAGTGCGTATTTTTTTGACTGCATTCACATATTCGTTGTCACTGAATTAATGTTCGAATAATATAATGACTTTAGTATTTACGGATTATATGGACAAGTCCGTCTGAGCGCATTCATATATTCGTCGGCCCCAGATTGACGGTTGAATCATCAATGAGTATAGTGGTTATACGGCTTCTGGAAAGCTATGGCTGTCGGAGCTCACATATCCTTTTTCTCAAGATCAACGTTTAAATAATATAATGATTATAATGGCTACGCAGTTTGTGGAGAACTGTGTAACAATGAGTTCACTTATTTTTAGTATCAAGCTTGAGATTTGAATGATGTAAGAACTGTGCAGATCATGGAGTTAATGCAGAACTAACGTAAGTGAGAGGGGTTCACATATTTGCGATCGGAAGATGAAAATGAGAGTTTTGTAACCATTATGTTGACTCTGAGGTATGTGAAGAAAAGGTACTAGAGTGATTCAGTGGTGAGGAGTATGTAATGTCTGTTCGCAATGTAGAACGCACTGTTTTGACTATAAGAAATACGGATGAGTTCAAGTAAGATTGTTGGTATATAATAAACGTTTGGGTGTTGATAAGTAGCTCAAAGTCGATGCGTGACTGCGTGGTATTTGAAATCGTAGATTTAAATATATTGCTGGAGAAAAATGTTTGGTGTGAATAATCATTCTTTATTGTATATGGGAAATATGGATAAAGGGAGTAGGGATTATTCACGAAAATAATGGTCCTTGGCGGTCTATGGTAGTTGTTGGAGGACGATTGGATTCGCGTAGTATTTGAAGACAATGGTATATTTTTTTCAAATATTTTTGGGATGAAGACGTGAGAGCAGAAGGCATAGTTTTTTTTTGAACTTAGTGGAATATTGGAACATACATTTAATGCTGTTCATTTTCAGCGTTGTATTGCATTGATTTGTATGTGATGTCGTAGTCGTGTTAGGTTTGATGAAAAGAAATGTTTCCTAAAACATCTATTTCCTTTGTGATGTGTACAGTTAATTTCTGTTCAGTTGTTTACCCTAGGATGGATTTACACGGTTCTTGTACATTTTTTGGAAGATTTTATTCGAATATAATTGGTATTTTCATATCATTGTCGGTGATATTGTTTCGATGTCTGTGTAGAGAAATGTGTATAATTTCAAAGAGACTTTAATCAATTACCTCATTGACATTTAAATAAAATCTATGAGACTCACTGACAAAATATTGAATAATAGTGGAATTATGTGTAAAAATAATGTTATACAAATACCTTCTTCAACAACGATTGATACTGAAGTTGAAGTAACAATGAAATATTGCACTAAATAATGAAATTGTACCAAAAAAAAAATAAAGAGTGACGCAGTATGTTTGATGAAGGTGACGCAACAGATTGCAGAAAAAATATAAAAATAGTAACAATATATTACTAGCATAGAATTGTATGGTAGTATTATACTTTTTCAAGAATCTTTTTTTTAAAAAATTATACAAAAATATTGAAACATCATGGGAATGCTTGTAGTTTTGTTTTAGAGAAAAACAAACTAAGTTAATCACAATGAAATCTAATAAATTGTTGTATTAAAAATCTCATCTTTTCTAAGTATATTTTTGTTTGTATACTAACGGGGCAGAGTAATGTAAAGAATCGAAGCACTGACAGTGATCTTACTCTTTGACAGATATATTTTATTAAACATGTGAACATCGTCTTTTATTAAAAGATATTTGTTTCATGATTACAATAGTTTTTAAATAAACAATTAGCTAGAATGACTTTGAATTATTCAAGTGTTTGTTAAATATCGATTCCAATCAATAAAAATCTAGGATATTCACATTGAAAAAAATTAATCTTGTTTAGGTCAACAGACACTATGTTTCAAAATAAAAGTAATTTTTCAAATATTACGTCGACTTGATATGTAATGTTACAAGATAAATACTGTGCATGAACTACATAATATAAATAATAATAAATGCAATATAGAGAGTATGTGCAGTTTCATGAAATGAAGTTATAATTTAAGATTAAAATTACAAAAGAACATTTTGTCGTTTGTTTGATATTTTTCCTTACAATATTAAAAACAGAAATAAATTTATATTTCTCTCATAAATACAACCTTAAAAATATACAGTTGAATTAATAATATTTTATAATCAGAAAAAAATATTGTACATATCTATATTTAAGACAATCGTTAAAAACATTAGAATGGAAAATGAAATTTGTGTAATCTATTTGAATATATAGCTGCTCATGCTGACAATTCTAAACTTCTCATTTAAATATACAAGTACATACTAAAAGAAAATATAACACAAATGATAATATACATATGATGAACGTTAGTGAAAAATTCATCTTAGAACATATTTTAAATAAAGCGTCAAAAATAATCATTTTTTAAATTTATCGCTGATACTATTATTTTGATGTTGGTTGTATTAAGAATAATCAGTTCATTTAAACTTCTTATTTTACAGCATACGAATATTTAAATCAACAATGTGTAATCTATCGCATGGCAAATAAAATGGAGGCATTTCGTGTCTGCACGTCGTCATAGTAAAGTAAAGGAAGAAGAAGGAAAGAGGAAAAAAAGAAAAAGTATATACCTCACATGTTTTTATTTTCACGTGTTATTTATATCGGCATACCTTCGTGTTACTTCTTTATATATCTGAATTGTGAACATATAGTATTCTAGAAGACGAACAATCATGTTGTCAAAATATCATCTAACTTTTGTGCATTTAGCATCAGATGAATAAATAAAATAGTTTGTTTGAAAATCGAAATCAATCAGTTAGATTTTCATACAATATTTAATTATAATATTTGATGTAAAAAAAATTCAAAAGATTAGATTTTAATCAATTGTCATCATATGGATAAATATGAAAATATTCTTGAAAATCACCGAGAACTTTTTAGTTATTGCACAGAATCATTCCGAATTCATACTCATATATTTATATTATTTTCGATCAATTTCGGGGAACAACAAATGTTATAATTATATTTTGTAAATTATTCAAATGTTTCAATTGATTTGACTATGACTTTTCAATTACCGATACACAAGTAACAGATAGTATTAGATCAAGATAATCTTCGCCTACCACGAATATTTTAATAGTATATTTTACTGAAGGTAATATAACAAAGAGATATTTTATCTAAAATCTTATTGTATATTTAACAGCGAGAGAAAATTAGTCCATTTACAACTGAATTCGTGTGGGTGTAGGTGTGCATCTTCAGTCAAGCCACTCCCACACCCACATTTGTCTTTCATTAACCGATAGTCTGTGTAAAAGATGGAAAATGTTGTTCTGTTTGATCGACATTTCTCGATTAATCGCCAAATCGGAGCGAATACTATACCAATAAATTAAAAAAGTTCTGAAATAATAAAGAAACATTGATTAGTGACGAATTAGTCGTCGCCATCGTCTGAATGATTCTTGAAATGTTTTTCTGTACAATGCTGATGGTAGGACAAAAACAATAAAGATAAGCATCGATGGAGTAAATGAAATGAAATAACCAAAAATAAATAATAATCGGTGGTTTGATGGATTCACACATTCAGATAACATTGACATAATCAGACGGGGTAAGGATAGAATTAGAAGAATAATCGGACTGATTAATAGGTGTTTATGTTCACTAAATTGATCATAAACATGTTCTTTTAAAGTTCGTCTTGTTTGAGCTGTTGCTCGTTGTCTGGCTGATCCAAATATGATGAATAAAGCAGAACAAAGATTGACAATACATGGACCAACAAGATGAAAAAATAGGATGATTGTATTGTATTGTTGAACAAAAGAAGAATAACGAGTTACACACCATTTATCAATATCCGCTTTGCTTGTCTTTGTATTTACCTCATACAATTCTCGGTATATAGGTTCATGAATGATAGAACCCATAATACAGAATGGTAAGATGAGAATTATCCATCGCGCTATGCGTTGACTTTTTTGTTTATTGAAGTTGATTCCTTTGAGAACGAGAATCGCTCTTTCAATAGCTACACAAGCATTGAGCCATGCATCCAAATAAAGACAAAGCTTGAGAAGAGGTTCGATCGATACACAACCTCCTCGAACAACAGAAACACGAATCGATAGATTCATTTGAGTGAGAACAACAAACCAAAACTTCACTGTAAACATACTGATTGTAAGAAAAGAAGTAATTGATGATGCTAAGAGATAGATGCCACATCCAACTTGTCGTAGATCTTCACTTTGGAATGTCATTAGAGACAAAATACTATTGATTAAACCTCCAGCAAACATAATCATCGTTGAAGCGGCATTGATTTTCATCAATATTGTTTGGTCAGCCAGTGTCATATTCGATCGAATTTCGTCACGTAAAATATCATCGAGAATGACACCAATACTTTTTTTATAGAACTGACATTTTTGACCGATGAAACAACTGGTCAAAGCTTGAGCTAAAGAAAGAAATACATAGTCATCAAGAGATGAGATCAATCTTTCTCAACTTAACAAAGCTATATTAGCGTAAGTTTATAAGTAACAATAGTTTATGAAAGTCATTTAACATGGTATGTGCTGCCGAGATTGAATTTCTATATTCCTATTATTTGTTCAATATCTTATGGTCATTTTACTCAGCTTTATAAAGATGTTTCTGCATATGAACTCGATAAATTTTCAAAGATTGCAGGGCAATAAAATCTCATATAGTGTGAAGTCACTGGAGAATAGGTCGTCTCTAATATCTCGTTGATTCGAGAATAAAGGCTGCATAAATTTATCCAACCGATTGAACTCGTACAATCCATCTCATCACGACTAAGCTACAATACTGAGACTTAATCTTATTTGATTGAAAACCTATTTGAAATTCTCAGATCTTTTAGTATTTAAGAGTATAAATGGAGTCTAGTGGGATGTTGTATTTCTCTGTTGATGATTTACAAATAATACAAAATACTTACTGTAACGATCAAGAGTGATATTATTTGGACCAGATGTCTTAATGTCAAAGTCCCCTGTCATATTTGGAGAAGAAGTTGTCATCACTAATATGTATGTAGTACCAGTGTAAAGATAAACAATAAGCTTGAAATCTTGATAACTACATGCTCGATAATCCTGTGAGAGTAGATTCTCGAGAGGATTCATTGGATTAAAATCATCTTCGTAAATATAACCAAATGTATCCATACTGCTGGAACTACTCAGAGCATAGTATCCAGTTTCCATGACATTCACTCTTATAGTTTGATAGTAATAATTTGATTTTCGACAATCTCGAGAATATGTTTGACTACTCGTATTCAACTCTGATGAATATATTGATTGTTCAGCTGATGAATATGGTATTTCGATGACTGATGGAGAAGCTATGCGATGAGAACAAAAACAACAATTCAGATTCGCGTAATATATCTTGATTGACTGAGAGAAAGACGAATCGTCTGGATTTAAGAAAGAAAATTGAGTATCATAAACCATCTCTCATACACGCTGAATATCGAAAGGCATGTTGAAGCTGAGTCTAGCTTTCTGAAGAGATGACTCTATATAATATCACTCTCTATGAAATAATTAAGCTGTAAATGGAGAGTGAGAATAGAATCTATAAATATCTTTCTGTACTCAAACCCTCGATAATGTATGTCACGAATGAGTTTGGAATAACTTCTTTATTTCGAAAATGGATAATATCTCAACGTTTGAGATATGAAAAATGGTTTATTCATAGTCTAATTCTCCTACTATTGTAATTTATTCAAAAATGAAAGTATGTAAAGATATCCTTTAGATTCATTCAACGTAAGAATATATTTATATTTTTATCTACAATACACTATATTTAAATGCTTGCCGTATTTTTTTTATTGTAGGAACATCGAGTGATAGGACATGTCGTAAGAAAAAGCAAAGTGTTTTTCATTTCAGAGTCACGAGCAAAGATTCATGTCTATGTGTATACTATTCACATCAGACTAACGATCGATTAAAACGGGTGTGTATTCAAGAGATTGATTTGATCCTATTCGTACTATTCAGTTATTTGATGGATTTAATGTAGCTGTTTGTGTAAAGCTTTCTTCTTATAATACAAATGTCATCTTAAAAAACAAGTTTTTCTTTGTGAACATGCCAAACCCAACTAAATACTCATGCTACCGTTGATAGATATTCACTTAAAAGTTGTAGTGCAAACACTTACTAATATTCTTGAGATTAACATCGTTTGGGCCAGAAACAGAGATTGAGAATTCACCTGTCATTTTGAATTCAGATGTTGTTACAATCAATATATATGCGATACTGGTTTCAAGAGCAACTGTGAATCTAAACTGATTGTCATTGCAGGGGGTACCTTCGTCTGGGAGTCGATTTTCACTTGGATTGGATGGATTGAAATAATCTTTGTGAATAGAGCCGTATTTGTGCATATAGCCATGGCTGAGGAAAGTGTAAAGGCCACTTTCATGAACAGTCACTTGTATCGCTTCATAGTAAGTACTTAAACTTGAACACAAATGGAAATACGTTGAACTGTTCGTTGTCAATTCTGATGCATAAGTTGTTTGAACACTTGATGAAGTATTGACTAACGAAAAAGAAAATCGATACAGTTTTGTA